AGATCTAAGTTTTATTTAAAAATCCAAGAATATTCTAGTATAAGATGAGCATTTGCTTTTCTAGGTGATTAAAGTTTTGGATTTATTTCTTTAGTTTACAGTGGCTAAGTTTAGCATTTGGTTTTCAATATTTTATACTATTAAATAACAAATTGTTCTGGTCATTTCATAAATTCTTTGCACTTAGATAATATTAAAGGCTCAAAGATTTACTGTTTCTGTATTAATTGATGATACAACTAAAGTTTATTTTATTTTTGTACATTAGTACATATCTAGTATTTTCAAGTGACTTAATTGTTTAAAATCTCTGGCTTAAAGGTTTTTTGGGAAAAGGTAGGTTTGCCATATATTTTTGTGTTTCATTAGTAATATTCTAAATACTACATGAAAATTTTTTACATGGTGCCAAGGCTGTTAACTTTTAGTGCTATAATATTTGAAAACAAAGATTTTCCATTTGCCCAAACTAGCAAAGAGCTACAATGGAATAACTGTCATCTGCATAAATATGAAAACCTTACCACATATTAATTATCAACAGAAATAAATTTTATGAGCATACTTCTGTAACACAATCATAATATAAAATTAGATTTTTTTAGTCTACAGAAGTGCTCTTACAACAATATTTATAGCCTTTTCTTTCCCTCCATTAGTAGTTTAATAAGTTGAGTAATTAATTATTTAGGGTTTTTTTTTTTTTAAAGATTTATTTATTTTTTCGTACAGAACTGGGGTACAGGCCAGAGATGCGGAGGGTGAGAGGCTTCACCAAAGACAGAGTGGGGAGCAGAACAGGCAGATCGACGAAGTACACTGCTGAGGGGAGCAGCGGGCGGGTCAGAGGTCTGCCGCACCATGTGGATCGGATCGAACTCATGCGGAAGAGGCTTTAGCTTCTTAGTGCTGTGCTTTAACCCGCTGCACCACCAGGGAGGGCCCTATTTAGGGTTTTTAAAATCCAGTAGGTATACAGAAACCTTTTCAGATTTTTTGGAAAAAAAAAAAAATCTGCATGAGCTGTCCATGCAGAAGCAGTTGTAGCATAATACCTTATTTTAGGTATTTGTTGCATACATTGCTGTATTCACACATCTCTATTTTGGTTCTTTAGAAACTACCAAGTCAGTCTGTATCATGTACCAAACTGATTTAAAACAAATCTACATTTTCATGGAAAAAGGAAAACAAAAACCAAAATAAAATCCAATGCATTCAACAGACCATGAACACCAAATTAATTTTTTAGAGACCTAAACACATCAATTAGTATTATAACTATGATTTGTAAAGGGGATGCTTTAATGAGTCATTATTTTATTTAGGTGTTTGAAATTCTACAGGGATAACGATACATTTTGAGTTTTGCAAGACAGATTAAAATCAAAATGGAGAACATAACGTAAGAATTTCAAAAAAAAAAAAAAGGAAATACCCTGAAAGCTACATGCGAATCGCTGAGAAGAGGCCCCTCTTTTTCAATGTAATTTATGCTTGAATCACCAGCAATGAGGTTTACATTTCCTTCCATGCCCTCTACTGAGCTCTGACAAGCTGTGCTCTCTCCAGGATTCAATGCTTTTGCAAGAGTGTCAAATGCCCTGTAAGAAACATCACAAGTAGTTAGTTAGCCAATTTCCACAACAAAATAAAGATTATATAAAATTCTAGAATTAAGATTTAAATCTAATTATTTAGGAAAAAACTCTGGTATATTACTGAGTGGTATCTAAGATTCTCTTCAAAAGCAACAAATTAAACTTCCTGTATAGAGTGTAAAAAACAGTTACTACTAATATACTATCAAAGAATTAGTCTTTTAAAATAATCCTGAGAAAAATGTACTTTGGCATGAAAATGCTCTTGTTCAAGTTATACATTTGATACAAGATAGCAGTTCATGCATTTTGCATGTAGAAGTTATTTAGAAAGAACAAGGCAAGAATTTATGTAGACTCTACTATATTCTATACAATACAAAGTTAGATCTAAGTTTTATTTAAAAATCCAAGAATATTCAAAACTGTGGTCACAGAGCTTATACTTAAACCTACAGAATAGGAGACTATGGAGGCATATAATTACTCTTAGAGTAAGTTATTATTTAAAACAGCTCCCCATATTTTTAAACAAGTTCCTTAAACTAATGCTCAACAAAACCCCTAAGTTTCTTAAATGTTTTAGGACAATGACCAAAGTGTGAAAAAAGCACAAAGAAAACTGGTTTCTATATCCTAAGTTTTACTATTTGTGAGAAGGGAAACTAGAAATCTGATGAGGTTCCTCAAGTATAATTTCAAAATGTAGCTGATTCAATTAAGTTTTTTTTTTTTTTTTAAAGATTTATTTACTTATTCATACAGAACTGGGGTACAGGCCAGAGATGTGGAGGGTGAGAGGATTCACCAGGGACAGAGTGGGGAGCAGAACAGGCAAATCGACAAAGTACACTGCTGAGCAGCGGGCGGGTCAGGAGAGGTCTGCCACGCCATGTGGATCTCCTCCCGGGCAGGCAGGGATCAAACTCATGTGGAAGTGGCTTAAGCTTCTTAGTGCTGTGCTTTAACCCGCTGCGCCACCAGGGAGGGCCCTCCACTAAGTCTTTTATTTTCATCGCTGGAATTTGGTGACTGCCTAATAATATATACTTCACTTTTAGTACACAGAAGATAAAATATGGCAACTAAAATATTTCAAATGTCAGACCTAAATTATCATTTCAGGGAGGAAAAAATTCCTAAGTACTCATTAAGAATGTAACCTGCATACATGTTTTTATTGAGTGTAGTTTTTCAGTTAACATTTACTATCTTAAATTTTCTAAGTCTAATAGAAATAACTGCTTTCTAAAACTCCTGTAAGTAATGGTCAATATAGAAATATTTTGAGAAACACTAAGTACAGTTAAGCAAAAGGATATCTTAGTTCAAATTAGACCTTACCTTGAAACATCACCATTAGTCTGCATTTCTTGATGAAATTCACACAAAGAAGTATCACCATTGCTTAAGTTTTCAACCACAGACATCTCATTACTACTTTGAGAAAGGTCTTTTGTTTTTCCAAGATTTGCTAATGATGTAACCACACTGGCCAATGTACTTAAATCTCCCTGACATGATTCAGCCTTAAAAAAAAAAAAAAAAAAGTATTAAAATTCTGCATATTGGTATCAGTAAAATATAAATCTGAAATAAGCACTTCTACAATATGAAATATAAGAAAAGCAATCTGATTAAGATAAATAAAATGCAGAAAGTAAAACTGAAAAAGGCACTAAGTTTTTAGAAATTTCTGAAGGAAATACAAGTTGAAAAATATCAAGCACATTTCCTAAGAAATGTTTATGCAGAAAAAAAAAGGACATTAAATTAGATTATTTTTTAAGTTCTTTTTTAGCATTGAAATTCTTTTCATATTACGATAATTTTCAAAACAGATTATACAAAGTAAGTGGTTGCACTCAACGCAGTAAAATTTATATTAATGAAAAGAGGAAGAAAATATATTATAAAATAGAGTCCCTAGAGTAACAACTTTACCAGCCACTGTTAATGTGTTAAATAGTAAAAACTGTGCTGCTGAAAAATCTCTTTACATATTTAAAATTCTGAGCTTTTGTTGCAGTGTATTTTTTCACTTGTCTTCAGTTTTAAAGATATGTATTTTATTTTCAATTAGCTACAATTTCTTTAAATAAAATTTTCTTGTGGGCATGATGTGGTCACATACATTTGAAGAGGTGTTGGCCTATACTTGATTTTTTTCTCCCCTTTTATCAATTTTCAGAGCAATGTGTCAAAGCCCTAGTAAAATATAATGGTGACAGATGAGTTCTGATCATTTTAAATACACAGATTTTTATATAACTGATGTTTAAACCATTAGTCATCCTTTTTAAAAAATGTTCAAATTATTCTATCCTAATCTAATGAGAGGTCCTAAAGTTGCTTTCTGTGACCTATGGTCAAGTTCTCTTGACAGCAATGAAAATTTTTTTCCCTGCACTGCTTTTGCTTTTCGAATCATTAGTTGGAAAAGAACATGTTCTCTTGATACTCACTTGTTTTATCAATTCTTCAGTTTATCTGACATTGATTTTGCAAATACGCAGAATAATTTGGGTGCCCTCCCTAATTAAGTATTTCAGAATCATTTAAGTAACTCACAGAATCTTACATACTTACTAGTGTGGGGTCAATCCCACCAAAAAGAGAGGCTATTTCAATAGATGCAGAATAGGTCTCTGGTCACTTTGGCTCAGAGATTAAAGATCAATGAAGGCCCTATGAGCCACAGGAAGTCTATTACCATTCTCCAAAGATGCAAACTGTGCTGAGAACACAGAGGGACTGTAAGGTTAGAAGCTTCTGTCCTTGCCTAAGTCCTTTGCCCAAACTTAATTGCCTTTTTCCTAACTGAAGTTCCGCCCTTTATAATCAGAATAATGTAGTTTGGATGTTACCTAGTTCTAGGTTATCAGTTAACACTTCTATCTAAGACAGTAAAGGTGAGTTCACTTCTCTCCTTTTCTGCATGTGATGTCTCCCCCTATGTCCTAGAAACCCTGAGTCCCAAAATGGTAGATAATTACTCTTGATATGCTCCATTGTTCTTCATAATCTACAACCATGCAAATTCTCCACATTATTAAATTGATTGTTTTGCCTTTGCTATTTGGATAACTTGTCCAGAACAAGAGAACCCAGAGGGATACAGGATGATTTCTTTTGTACCCCATCAAAATTAATATACACATTTTATTTAGTCCTACAAAAGGGAGACTTCCTGGTGGCCTGGGGGTTATACCTCAGTGCTATCAACACTATAGTCTGAGTTAGTTCCCCGGCCAGGGCCCTAGCCCATATAGCGGTGTATTACAGTAAATCCGCCTTTCTGTCCCCCACTGATTCTGGTGAACCCTCTTATCCCCACTACCCTTTTGCCTCCCTGGACCTGTGGCCAACCCCCCAATTCTTCTACATGATAAATAAACAAACAGTAATCCTTTGTTACTGACAAGAAGAATAGTGGAAGCAGAATGGGAATTTACGTATGATGGGAAAGTCCAAGTTCCTAACTGCTCTAGTCTTTGTGTACATGAGAAAAAGGAGTCAACATTTTGGTTAATATTTTTGACACAAGAATCCTAGGCAATGTGAAAGATCTCATACGATGATTTGACAGTTTTAGGATTATTGCCAGAAATGTATCACATAAGGTTATTATTACAGTTTAAGGTAAAGACATTTTACAAAGCAATGTGTAGACAAATAATTTTTTGATAAAATTTAGCTCTATTCCTAAAATACTCAATATGTCAATGACATTATAACTACTACTCTAATCTTGAATTTCATAGACAAGGGTAAGCAAAACCTCATAATTCCAGAAATACATGAAAGAGAGGGCAATCAGTCTCATAATAACATCCTAAAGCCCAACTTGTAGACACTTCTATTGTCTGCATTCTATAGATGAAGAAGGAAACGGAGGCACCTGGAGATCAAGTAACTTGTCCAAGGTTGTGCCGCTAGTAGGTGACAGGAGAAATTTTTTTCTAGCACACAAAGAGTTCCTTAAGAGTTGCGATCAAGCAAGAAATAGATAACAAATCTGGCCCTAAGTAGTCTTATAGGTTATGTAAAATGAGATCACATTACCAAGTGAAGGGGCACTGAAAACTGCTTTTAGTTAAGTTTTTAGGAGATATTTTTGCTTTTTGTTCTCATAAGGGGCTTCTAAAAACTACAGATACTCTATATCCTCAAAATACATTTAAAAATCTGTCAATAAGCAAGTTTTAACTCCTCTTTACACCCTTTACATCATAAGAGCTCCTCCAAATAAATGTCTAAGAGAACTTTGTTGAATTAAACACAATATTAGTTTTTACAATGCTAGTTCTACTTGACTCAAGTCAATTTTTGAATGAAGTGTGCTGCATTATAAAATGCATGGGGAACATAAGTGCAAATCATACTTGTTATAAATTCTCTGAGAATTTTTATTTTAAGATGAAACATCGAAGACTTTTAAACACTGCTACTTTTACACTGAATTCTCCTACTAGAAAAACATTTCTACCAAATAGTTGATAATTTGTTAAAAAACAAAAAAGCACCTTGTATGAAGGATATTTAAGACCAAATCCACTGACCAAATTGATGGAAAACAAACAGGAAAAGAAAATTTTTTAAAACTTTTAATTAATTACACTAAGCATACCTTATCTGGTGTCATCAGCACAGTTGACTCAGTTTTTATTCCAGACTGATGAATATTCACAAACATTCCTGAATCCAGCAATCCTGCAGATCTATTACAAAAAGTACAAATTTTATCTATAGTTTCTCGGGAGTGAAACAAATAACCAGCTAGGTAATGACTTTTGTTGGCTGTTTTTACTATACCTTGCAGTTTCACTATCTGTTACAAAAGTGGGAGTTGCAGCTAATGGACTTCGAAGATCTTTACGGATATAGATTTTTTCTGTTGAAGCAGCACAGTTGGAAGATTTTTCTCTTGATACTTCAATGGGTTTTCTTTCACACTGAACAGCTACAAAATGCATTAAACTAATTAGAGAACAATGCAGAATTTATAGGTAATCATAAATGTAATGTTGCTAATGGGAGACATGGTTACTGAACTCTAAAAGCCAATTTCTAGAAATTATTATTTGCAGTGCAATAAAGTTGCTTCAGAGTAGTAAAACTAGCCACTGCATCCCCTGTTCTTTTCTTTCCCTCCTCCAACTGTGGTAGATATTTTTATTAAATTCACTGTTGAAAATGAAAAACTGAAGCTAGGAGACCCTTTAAGAATTTTTAGAAAATGAAATACTTAACCAATTGAAAATGATACTAATAGAGAATCACGAAAGTTAGATCTTTTTTTCAGCTAAGGGCAAAGTAACTGCTTAGTCTCAATTTATAAAATGTACTTCATATGTTTCACTTGTTTCAAATTCAAATTCTGCCAATTCTTGGGTGACTTGGGTTGGGCAAACTACTCAATTTATTCAAACATAAACAGCCAAACAGTAGTAGTAACCTACTGCACAGAATTTGCTGAAGAATAAATAAATTCATACTCATGTTAGGAATAGTGAGCACTCATTATTTTACTAATTGCTTTAGCAGTTTAATCAAAAGATAAACTGGTATACGGTTAGCTGATTTTTTTTTTCCTTTTACCATGTTCAAACTACAAATACATGTGTGGCACACAGGCAACAATAAATATTTACTGCATGAATGAACACAGTATATGTACCTATTTCTCTATTTTTAGTTGGAAAGTTGTAAATTAAAAAGCACATATACTTAATATGTGTTAATGTGTTAAATTAATGCTTCAAGAGTTTGCCTGAAGACTTAAAAGTACTTTCAAACTAGTTTAAGGTTAATACATACAGTCTTGTTTCATTCCGAACGCAATACATCTCTGTAACCTGCAGTATTGACAGCGGTTTCGATGGTGTTTATTGATAATACAGTCTTTTGATCCGCGACATGAATAAACTAAGTTTTTTCGGATGCTTCTTTTAAAAAATCCTTTGCAGCCTTCACAAGTCACCGCTCCATAATGACGCCCTAGAGACAAAATTTTTAAGAAAACACAAGTCACCTATTTTAGAACAAAAATTAAATAAGCCCATTAAACAACAATATGTGAGATGAAACTGAGATTTGTATGTATATGGTACAATAAAAAATGGGGAGTTATTAAATAGACTGTAGTAACCATATTCTCTGATAAACTAAACAATGAGTTTCTTAAATTTCAGAAACTAATCTTAACAATGCTATGGGAAATTAAAGAGAAGAAACAAAACCAACCATTATTTCAATTATTTACTATAAAAAATATACTTCTGGCCCTCCCTGGTGACGCAGTGGATTAAAGCACAGTACTAAGAGGCTGGAGCCACTTCTACATGAGTTCGATTCCCGCCTGCCCCGGAGGTGACCACATGGCGAGGCAGACCTCTCCTGACCCGCCCACTGCTCCCCTCAGCAGTGTACTTCATCGATCAGCCTGTGCTGTACCCCACTCTGTCTCTGGTGAATCCTCTCACTCTCCGCATCTCTGGCCTGTACCCCAGTTCTGTACGAATAAATAAATCTTTAAAAGAAAAAATATGTATATATATACTTCTGAGATCATTTACAAATTTAATTGTTACATACTGTGTAAATCTGTCTCATTCTGAAAACTATGCCCCCCGAAAAAAGAATATTAAAGTATTTGAACTATAATAATACCTCTGCACTGTGAGTTCAACTATGCTTACTCATTTCACAAACCATTTCTTTGGTACACATCTATGAACAACGAACATATTCTGGGAAAAGCTCTAGTGAAGGTTCCTATATTGAAGTATTGGGAAGAGAGGCCCCTCCAAAATGTTCAATCGGGCTCCCGAAAACATGTTACTTTGGGATGTGAATTATTTTGAGGTCACTTGAGGCCCTGCAGCTTCGTGAGAAACAATTTCCCACTCACTTAACTACCTAAGAGAATGAAAATTGGGGATTTTATCCAGACTTAGGACTTTTCCCAGAAATAACCTTTCTCAGAAAAACCGATCTATCTAGCAGAGCATATGCAGAGCACACGATCTTTGACACACAATCACGTGTCTCTGTCACAGCAGTCCACCTGCACTCCCCTTACGTCCCAGCTCCCTATTCCGTCCCAGCTCCCTATTCCGTTCCTTAGCTCTGGATCTATACATCCTCATTTTGCCCCACTAACTTTAGAATCCATATCCATGTAGATTCTCTCCATTCATATGTTAATTGCATTTGTTCCTTTCTCCTACTTAATCTGTCTGAAGTTCATTTGAATGCTTGATCAGCCTGAGAAGAACCCCAAGTGGTAGGGAGAAATTTCCTTTTGTCCCTATACTACAGAAAAGATAAAAAATTTCATTGGCATTTGTGAACATATATTAATGAATATGGCTGTGTATTTCTCACAGGAAGTAACAATGGTCAGAACTGAAATGATTTAACCCTGAGTACTAATAGGAGTAAGCTTGGAGGTAAGCCTACTCAGTTACACAGAGCATGAAAAGTAAACAAGTCTTTTTCTACCTCAATAACTCATTTTACTCTGTATACCTGGATTGACAACAGGGTTGAACAGGTTAACAAGTTACCATTTCATATTAAGGATCAAAATTTATTTTAAAATATTTTTTCTTTTTTACAAAACAGACTTTTTATTTATGCATTCAACACGTTCAGTTTACTTTTGTAATTGTTTGGAGTATCCATTTTAAGTCACTGCAAGATCAAATTAAACAGCACCAAAATGAGAAAAATCTTTATTTTTAAATAAAATACTTATAAATAAAAAGGGAAAAATCAGTTAAATTCTGTAGATTACAAATATGAAACAGAAAAATGACAAGCTCCATTGCTTTTATTTTTTACTTCTAGTTGAAGAAACATGGTAATTATTTGAACAATACAACATGACACACAGGTAGTTAATTTTTTTTTTTGTTGTTACCTGATGCTTTGTCTCCACATACTACGCAAAGATCAAAAACCTTATTTGGTCCTTGGTCCGGGGAAGAATTATCTGTTAAAAGCTAAAGAAAATCCCCCAAAACAAACAAACAGAATTTACTGTTACTCAATAATGCTCTCATTCTGTAAAAAGCTAAAAGAACATTCAGTCTAGCATTTTTTTAATAAGTTACTCAAACACTGAAATCTATTACTGCATATATTAAACTAGTCTCAATTTTCTTTCTATGTAAGTGAAAATTTCAATGTTTTAAGGAGCAACAATAATAAATATATCTAAAATTTTTCCATAATAATTTTGTTAAAATAAACACATAAGTATGGAATCTTTAAAAAGTTATCACTCATTAAACAATTATTCATATGACATAGGTCAAATTGCAGTAGCAGTTATCAATCTTATCATGGCATTTTCTTTAAAGAGCTCAGAAAATTTCTACACATACTGACATGACTAAAATGTCATACTAAAAAATATAACTATTAATTTTTCAAATGGAGAACTATAAAGAAAAACTGTATTGTTGTATTTAATTGTAATCATGGTAATATGATTAATATACAAAAGTATATGCTTTTCATTATGGAACTGTCTAAGATTTGGGTTAGGTGTAGTGCTTAAGAGCACAGACTCTGCAGTCTGATAAATGGCAGCCAGAGGAATCTGGTGGAATGACCTTGGTCAAATTACTAAATCTCTATGATAAAGTCATCACTAAAGTAATAGAATGCTGGTAAATACCGGTTTCTTTTTTTTGGGTTATCCTTAATTCACACTACTGAGTTTCAGCATAAAGGAGACCATGGGGTAGACTGTGCTATACCAATGAAGAAGCTATAGTGAGCCTTGTTAAGATTTGGCAGTTTCTTCTCTGAGGCTCAAGAAGCCTGTTCCCAGGAGTCTTGATCCAAGAAGCTGCTCCTGATGTGGCAGTTTCTTATTGTGCAGAAGCAGTAGATCCCTTAGCAACAGTTCTGCAGCAAACGGGGACAAGAACTGTTTCTTCAGCCTTTGCATCAATTCTTTAAGTTCTTTGTGTCCTTTATTAAATACTTCGCTGGCCAAACTAGAAAGTTTAATGTAGCCAACTGGGAAACCCCCAAGATATGTGTGAAGAAAAGCGCAGTGTTCATACTGGACGGCAGTCGCCAGATACTCTGCACAGCACCTGGCTTTATGCCAGATTTCTTTCCCCCTTCTGAAAAATTGCTACATGTGTAGTCTTAAAACAGCAGGCCTTACGTGTTATGACATGCTTTTTATTCTTTCAAGGGTAAGATGAAAAGATACTTCCATAGTTACATACCTGAAGGTGCTGTGCGGACAGATCAGGAGTTGTAAAAAATAACTGGTTCACACCTGCTGCATCTGGAGTTGTGAGGTAAACTTTTCCTGGAGTGGAATCCTGTCTTGCCAGAATGACTTTGCTTGGAGTAGAGCCGTCATGATTTGTCAGAATGAACTGCTTGCCCGGTGTATTGTGATCTAGCGCTGTCACTATCTGAATTTTTTGGCCAGTCTGTTGTTCTGTAACAATCTAGCACATATGTGTCAAATTAGTAATCAACTTTTCCCCTCCTGACCACATAAGTTTCTCTTATCTTCAGAAAGTTAAAAAAAATACATTTACCTATTTTACATATCAACATCCATACATACAGATTTTAAATTAGCGATTCTACTTATACAATATGCTGTCCTACAGAAATAAATATGCAAATACATAAAGACACAATAGTGAGAACATCTGGACCTCACTATTTTGTTTCCTTCCTTCCCCTCCCCTTCTACCCACTATATAGACAAACATACTGGGTATTTGATCTGCTAAAAACAATTTGTTCTGGGCCCCAGGATAGAACAATAAACAAGGCAAAATTTTTATTCTTACAGTGTTTTAGTGATGAAAGATTAAAAAACAAAAAAGCAAGTGCTACTCTGCCTCATGGTTTTAAGTCCCAATAAGAAAAAGCAGGGTAGGATGAAATTACTGATGGAATAAATCAGTGATGATGTTCTCTGGGCTGTAATAACATTTTGGCACATTCCTGAGTGAAGTAACAGGCCAAGGTTTAGGACTGGGTAGTGATGTGCATGCCAAGGTAGAGGATACTGATATAGAAGGGCTTCGGGTAGGAAAGATGTGCTCAATATCTTACAGACATGAGGCACAGCAAGAAAGTCACGGGAGTGAAACAGAATGGAAGAGAGGGAATATGGTAAAGATGGGATCTAAGTGACAGTTGATGCCAGATTATACAGGGCTTGGTAGGCTACACTCAAGTCTGGACTTCCTACTATGTGAAATGGAGATCAACTGGAAGGTTTACATAACAGAGAACAGTCTTCAAAAACCATCATTCTAGATTTTCTGTAAAGACTAGAAGGTGATTTTTCCTAAGCTGAATTATGGGAGACTATAAAGGAAGCTAACAGTATATGGGCATTGTTTAGGGGCAAAAACTATAGATAGCTCAGATACCTAAAAGGGTAATTGCTATGCTGTAGGTGAAAAAAGATAGGACTTGGGATATTTCTTGTAGAGGTGACAAGATGTGCTCATTGACTGGATGTAGGATATGAGAGTCAAGGATTATTACAGAATTTTGGCCAGAGCAGTTGGGAGGCAAAGCTGCTATTTACTGAAATGGAGCAGTCTGTGGAAGAGCAAGCTCATGAATAAAGAGAACTAGTCCAACTTTGAGAGGTTTTCTTGTTACAGAGCAAATATTTTACAGCATAAACTCATTAAACCAACTTAATTCCTTGATTCAAGGGCATGGTTCCATTTTCCTTAAGTTATTTTCACCAATATTTTTTTCCATGCAAAATTTACAACGAAGTTCATTAATCAGTTTTTTTGACAGAGCAAACTGCATTGCTTATAGCTACTGTCAATTACAGTTCTTTGTGAATCATTATTTCTACTATGTCCTAGTTCTCTGAGTGTATTTTTAACTACTGGCAATTTTATTTTTACACAAGTTATTTTAACCAAGTCTCACCTCCATTCTTCCTAACAATTTTCTGCAATTTCCAATGATACTTATAAGATGTAACCTCAAATCAATTCATTTGTAACAAATTTACCAAGTAAAGATGAGCTGTCAGTTTTACCTTGCATTAATTCTATCAGCAATACTCATAGTGAGTGGACTAAAATATGGGCCTTACATCTTACAGAAAAGAGCAACAGGTAATGCCATCATTGAAGTATTTTGCTTAAGTAAAAGAATGCTTTCTACAGCATAATTATTACTACTGGAAACTTAGAGCAATCCAAATGACCATCAATGAAAAAGAGAAAATAGATTATGGTAATATTCTGAGGTCTCAGGATCCTTTTACACTCTAAAAAATTAATAAGAGTTCCAAATGGCTTTTGCATATGTGGATTATACCTACTGATATTTACCACACTAAATATACAAAATTTTAAAGTGTTTATTAATTCATTTTAAAATAACTTATTAAATGTTAACATAAGCAACACATTTTGTATGAAGAATTAGTAAATTTTCCAGACAAAAATCTTGTGGGAACAGTGCCATTGTTTCACAATTTTGCAAATGACTTTACTGTATGGTTAGTGAAATACTAAGCTGTTTCCTCATGTTTGCCTCTGCATTCAATCTATTACAGTATGATGTTTTGGTTAAAATATACAAAGAAAATCTAAAGTTACATTTATCGGCTGAAAGAGAGAAGGCTAATCTAATAGCCTCTTCAAACTGTGGAAACTGTGTTTTATACTCTACGAAAATTCAACAACTAGTAGTTTTGTTTTGTTTTTTAAAGATTTACTTATTTATGCATACAGAACTGGGGTACAGGCCAGAGGTGCGGGGATGATGAGGAACTTCATGGAGAGTAGAACAGGCAGATCGACAAAGTACACTGCTGAGGGGAGCAGCGGGAGGGTCAGAAGAGGTCTGCCATGCCATGTTGGTCACCTCCTGGGGGGACTGAGCTCATGCTGAAGTGGCTTTAGCTTCTTAGTGCTGTGCTTTAACGCGTTGAACCACCAGGGAGGACCCCAACTAGTAGCGTTTTTTTAAAGATTAGTTGCAATGTGAAGTCAGAAACTGTATAAATTCCATAGCTCTCTAATTTGAAGGGATCTATTATGCATGGGTGACTGGTAGCATCGAGCACTGGTCATTTGGAATACACTGATTCACTGAGATACTTACATACCTTTTAAATGTTAACACAGTTCATCATACATTATCACATGTCTTGCAGTCTCTGGAAAATTCTGCTACATACAACAGAATAAATACAAGGCAAATAATGTTTCAGAATTATTATGAAAATGATTTTGACTTTGTTCTGAGTTTTTCAGAGGCCCAATATGATACTTGGAAAACCTCTGTACTCTGATCTTTTACTAAGAAATAACACATAACTATTTGAATAGTTAAGCGCTCCTGTCTATTGACACAGCTCTCCTATTGTTTCATTGATCAAGACTGGTCTCAGATTTTGCACTCTCCAAAAAGCATTCTCTAACCAGGTTTCTCTAGCCCTCTACAACTTGTCATTAGCTGTTTTTCTACTGTGTTCCCATAGCACCCATATAATTATCTACAAAGTTGGGGGCATCTTTTATCCTGTACCTCCAGAACCCAGTAGATGACTCACTGAATTAACCATAAACTAAACATACCTCTCCCATCTGTTGTTCAATAATTTGGTGTGCAATTTCTTCTATGGTAGCCATGATCTAACTGCCAAAATGTCCTGCCAAAAATAAAAAGATGTTTTTTACACAATTGAACCCATAAAATAATATTCATCGAAGAGTTAATACATGAAATTACATGGTAATTTTGCTTTAAAATAATCAGCTAGGGTGAGGGAATAAGCAAAACAAGACTGGCCTTGTGGTGATAATTAATGGTAAAGCATATATGAGGGAATATAAAACTATTCTGCTATTATATATTTTGAAAATGTTGAATAGGAAAAAACTACTGGCCATCAAACAATTTCACTTTTCTTTTTTTTTAAGATTTATTTATTTATGCATGCAGCACTATGGTACAGGCCAGATATGCGGGGGGTGGGTGGGTGAGAGGATTCACCAGAGACAGAGTAGGGAGCAGAACAGGCAAGATCTACTGAAATACACTGCTGAGGGGAGCAGCAGGTGGATCAGGAGATGTCATCTCCCAACATGTGGGTCACCTCCGTGGCAGGAGATTGAACTGCAGTGACTACAGTAGCTTCACAGAGCCATGCTTTAGCCAGATGCAACACTGGGGAGGGCCCCAATTTCACTTTTCAAATCCAAAGAAGCCTAAGTAGACATCCAGTATAAATCAAGAGTATTTGTTTGTTATTTTAAACAAGGGCAACTCTAATCTGTAAATAAACACATCACTAAACATTCTCACCAATACGCTGTAAAATTGACTACTGCATTCATTCAGGGCGGATTTCTCTAAAATTTTGTGATTATTCTTCATTAATGGCGATTCCTGACGTATTAAAATCAATCTGTATTTGATGTAAAACTACCTCCAAAAGGACTTGAGAGTTGTAAGATTAATGGGATGACTTTGACTTTTGTTTTTTCTGTATATCAGGTTGTCAAGGATATACAAATTATGTCTTATCATATTGCATACTGCCTGCCATAAATTTGCTAATCTGTGATATAATTAATCCTAGCTGTGAAGGTGGACTTGCTTTTCTTTCAGTATTAAAAACTGAAATTATATGTTGAAGTATAGAGCTGGACTTTTAGTGGTCAACTTAATATAGTATATACACATGGTGAGTTTCAATGATATATATATATATATATATATACCTGACAATTATATAATGTTATAATAAACACTATTCAATTAAATACATAAAAACTTGAGGCCTAGAGTCATTAAGGCTTGGAGACTTTCTCATGAGTCAAAATATATTAGGGAGAACAATATATCGGCACAACTTCTGTACTAGCAAAATGCAGCACTCTGCCGTCTGTAACAGTTTAAGTGCTTTTCTTTCCTAACAAACCTGTCCTTTTAAAACGTAAAAGGAAAAATAAAGTAAAAAGATAAATTAACATTATTGTACTAGAAGAGTTATATAATCTGGATATTTTCATTATTCTTAAGGGACAATAAAGTATTTTAAAAACAGACATGAAATGAGCATGAAGCCATGCACCTGGCATATATACTAGTTATGATGTAATAATACCTACATATCTCAAGGACACTGCCAATGTTGCAGCTCCAAATAAAATAATTTTCTCCCACACCAAAATCCTTCCCTTGAAATTCATGTAAGCTGGTTAAAGCACTACTAATGATTTTATTACTATCATTCATTAACTGCTGTTCCAATATCAATATAAGTGACTTCAGGGTCCATGAGGATATCCCAAACTATAACCAACATTTCTTAACTCAAAATCCAGTAGCATTCCCTTAAAGTTGCTACTTAAATATCTTGCTATAAGACTGCACTATTATATAGATTTAATATTTCTCCCAATAATCTTCAAAGTCTTCTGTTCACTCTAGGATTTGTCTTTTATTAAACTTTACATTCTTGCCACCTACACTTGTGATTGCCTGAGTTTATCTTAAGCTTCATGTTCCGATGTTTTTGCTAATGGCATCTCTCTTTACCATGAATGTCATGGAATCATTAGATTCATATATGCTTATTTTCAACACTAAATTTAACAACAACTAAAAAGAGGCAACAACGCATTCTATACATAGGATTAAAGTCTAAACTGTTATAAACTTTTTAGGAAAATAATTTACTATGTATATCAAGAGTCTTAAAAAATGTTCACATTCACTGGTTCAATAATTCATTCAATCTTGCTAAGTGCTTGTTATGGGCCACGAGTTTTCTAAGTGTTAAGGATGAAGTAGGTAATATTAAATATACCTTCTCTCTTTTGTGAAGTTTATATTTGATGGGATGAAACAAACAAAATACACAATACTAACAAATGATTAAAAAGTGGAATAGAGTAAACCAGAACAAGGACTGACAGAAAATGCTTGGAAGTGCGGAAGGAAGTTGCAATTTTTAATAAGAGGTCGGAAATAGCTTTACAGAGAAGATAACATTTATGTGACAAAGGACGAAGATTTCTGCAAAAAGATATTCTTGTTAGAATCATGCATAGTGAAAATGTTTAATGAAGAAAATACTCATGAAAAACTAAGTTTAAACATCAAGAAAAACGAACTGTGTGATTTTCAACAAGTGCTTTTTTTTTTTTTTCAATAAACTTCGGTTTAATGGTGCCTAGCATTCACATCTTAACTCAGCACGTACTTACTGAAACCAATTAATTGATCACTATTTTGGACTTTAGTGAACAAGACAGAAGAAGATCTCTGCTCTATGATGAGGAAAGAGATTTTTAAATATTACTATGCTATGAAGCAAACTAGGAAGGAGTGATAAAGAGCAAAAGAGAGGGAGTTTACAGAGATATAAGTGTTTTAGACCTTAAGTCAAAAAATTAGAGTTCCAATCCCATTTTTAATACTTAGTAAATGCATGCCTACATGTGAGTCAATTAACCTAAACCTTTTTCTCATTAATAGAAGGGATTAAGTAAAGTTGCTGCATAAATTCAAGAGAAGTGAAAATATCAACTATATCAATGGTTAACTGCTTCTGATAGGTAAAACCTGAAAGATGAATGAATAAAGAGCTCAAAAAAGTAACAAAAAATCAGAACTACCACACTGAGGAAGTATCTGAGAAAAAAACCTAGAGTTTAGACACTGAAGGGGAAAAAAAACCACTAGTAAGAGTCTGCCTTCAGCACTCTAAAACTAAGAATGTACACAGGACATACAATCCACACAATCCTGTTTTACTTTGTTTCCCTTTTGCTCCAATTTCACTTCTACATTTTCCCTACCGGAAGTGGGGGGTGGGGGAGGCAGTGCAAAAAAAGGTTATTCTCCTCTCTTGACTCAAATTTTAAATCTGTGCTCTTTGACTCATTCTCTATCTCAAATACAGTTCATTTTCTTTTCCCAGCATCCATTCTCCCCACATTCTATCCCCATGATGCTCACTCCCATCAAGTGAATGTAAGCTGTTATCATCCAAAATAATACTTTGCAAACATTGTATTGTGAGCCAATTATACCTGGGGAAATTTGGTAGGAATGAATTTTTTAAAAGGAAAATAGAATAAAAATTAGTGCACAGGGTGTAATGAAGTTATGAACAGTCTAATGAAGGCTTTAATTTAATATGGCTGTGTGTTTAAAGATGCAAAGCATTTATTTCTATGGCATGTACTCAAAAGCGGTCGAAATATAGACAATGCTTCTCCTTTTTTTCTTTTCCACTGGACTGGGTCAGACATCTCTTTGAAAAATCTGATGGAAGTTAAGGTTTCCCTCACTAGAAAACACACTACAATGGTACATGCTGAAGTTCAAGTGGCTCATAGAATCTCTTGTTGGCAGTCCAAGGTCTTCAAGCTAAGAACCCTGGGCGGAAAATTTCAGCTACTACCAGAATTGTTTCCCAGACTTACAGAATTTTGTATATATGAAAAGTCCATTGAAGGCAAGAACTATCTTTGTGTAAATTCAAAGTCTCAAGAAGGTAACAACTATCTTTGTGTCAGCACCTTTGACAAGGAGTAAGTTCTCAGGATGCTTCACAAATGAAATACATCTTTTATCATGCTTCAGAATTACCAGTGTCCCTTTAAAGGCTGAAGAATACAAATTCAGCCTACTAGTGGTTTTTCAATATTTATTGAGTCCCTACAATATACTTGCCACTGTAGCTACAAAGGTGAATTCCTTCATAACCCTGCTCATCTTATTTTCTCTTCTATCATTCCCCAAAGGGACAACTGTCAGGTGAAACCCTGATGATCTGCATTCCTCAACAAACTAGTCCAAGTTCCTTCTTCTTCATTTAAATTCTACCTGACCTTTGGGACTCTTCAAATTTTTTTTAATCCAAATTTTTTTTGATTAGCCTAGCATATATCGTGTATGCTGAGAGTATTAACAGACTTTCAAGGATTCAGACTTCGGTTAACTTCTAGTTTTGCATGCAAAATTTTATGCAAAGGTATGTTTTTCTAGAGAGTCAGTATATGCTTTCACAAAAGACTTTAAGAGCCTGCATATGGTCTGACGACTAAAAAAAGCAAATAACTGCATTTACAGTACTATTATTTATGGTGTGCTTTGCCTTGTCTGCTCCCCAAGGGTAGGAATGTCACGCTTTATGTAGCACACACACACACAGTAGTAGGTATTCTGGGAATGTTTGCTGCCTTACTTCTCCCTCAAAACTCTTTCTAAACGAAGACTTAAATGCCCCTACAAATAATGATGATAGCTCTATTTCAAGGATACACATTTTTAATAAAAATAGATCATTTTTAGACCTATCAACTGTACAAAGAAAATTTTTAAATAATCATCGTGTACGAACTGACCATTGTTCAAAGACTTCAAAAAATCGAAGGCCTATTTGCAACTTCCAGAGGCGCGCGCGCGCGCGCGCGCACACACACACGAAACCAAGCCCCGAAAGCTTTAATTGTAGCTCCCTGCTTTCCCTTCCAGTTATTTATTCGAACAAAACCACCTAGCTGATGTACTTGGTGAAGGTTATGATGAGATAATTTGCCAGTATCTGTAGTTCATAAAACGGTGCCTGCGGGAGTTGGCGGCAGGGTTCGTTAACAAAAGAGCTATAGGAAGCTCAGACCTGCCCACCGCAGCGCGGACCCCGGGCCGTTCCTCCTGCCCTCGCCTTCGGCCTCCAAAAGACAAAACGCGTCCGAAGGCAGCGACTGCTCAACCCCACTCCAAGTAAAAGTTAAAGGAGTCCCGCGGTACTTCCCGTGTTAGCACGAGAAACAGTAAAGGGCCCGGGGTGAAAGGATTCAGGCCCCGATCCGCAATCACTCTCGGCGACAGCCGGCCTCGCCCGCGCCGCGCCCGCGCCCACCGTGCGCCCTCCGGGCCCTGCGGCGGCGCGCGGCTCCCTGGGGCGGGGGAAGCGGCGGCGGAGCCGAGACGGAAGCTTTTCCTGCAGGTGAAAGGTCAGAGGCGCCGCGGGAGGCGCCGCGGGAGAGGCAGCTGCGCGCGCCGAGCGGCTCGCGAAGACCCTCCCGCGCCCCGGCCCGTCTCCAAATGCCGGTCCCGCGCCCCGACGGTGGCCTCGGTCTCTCTGAGCCCGCGCGCTCGGCCCCGCAGCACCGGCCACTCGGCGCCCTCACCCCGCCCGGGCAGCCAGCCGCGGCACTGCCTGACGGGCGGGCCCGCTGGGCCGCAGACCGCAAGTTCTAGGGGTGGGTCTAGGGGCGCGTCCGTTGGACCCCGCGAGGAAGGGACATCTCCGACCCCGCTCCAAACGCGGCCGCCCTTCTGCCCACCCGGCAGCTCTTACCGGCGCTTCTCCGCCGCGCGGGGTCCTGCGCCGGGCGTAGACTGGACAGTCCGGCGGCGGCGGCGGCGGCTGTGTGGGGGTGGGGGGCCTGGGAGGAGGCAGGTCGAAGATAACGGAGGGGGGGAAAGGGGAAGGAAAGTGGGGGAAGGGAGCTCTCCGGGTTTGTGTATTTGGGGGGGTCAGAGTTCGTGACCCCTCCCTCGGATACACGGTGCGTGTTCCCGGCCGCGCCTGCGCAGTAGAGATGAGAAGCGGCAGGGTGGTGACGTTCCCTTGGTGGAGGGATCCGAGAACTGAGCCTCTGATGAAAGTGCATTGCCCCCTATCGGCCTGGAGGCAGACGCGCCCGAGTGCCTGTCCAAATCTAGGATTTTGAGAAGCCAGGTGCGTTTAGCATCCTGTTTTGCCAAATGGCGGTATTTAAAGGAAATTTTGAGACAAGCGCTTCAGATTTGAAAAATGATGGACATGATTTCTGACCTGTGGAAAACTAACTTGTTATAGGATGCTTACCTATTAAAGGTCGATTAGAGAACAAATGGGTGGATCCCAGCTGGGACAAAATCTTGTCTAGTTTTACCTATCAATTTCTGTGAGCAAAAGAAATGATGGCTGGGCCCTCCCTGGTGCAACAGGTTAAATAAAGCACAGCACCATGAAGGTCTCTGCAGGTGCTTCAGCACAAATTCTATCCCTGACCAAGAAGGTGACCCCCATGGCGCAGCAGACCTTTCCGGACTGCCCACTTCTCCCCTCAGCAGTTTACTACATGGATCTGCCTGCTCTGCCTCTGGTGAATCCTCTCCCCACTTTTGCACCTCTGGCCTGTACCCCAGTTCTGTATGAATAAATAAATCTTAAAAAAAAAAATTAAGCTCTCCTAAGGCTGCCTTTTGTCTGTTTTGCTCAGTAGTGTGTTCCCAGATGATACAGGGCAATGTCTGCTGGTCAGTAAAGATGTGTCAAGAGAATTGAGGGGACACTTTCTGGCGCTCGCCACCTGAGCACAGTGTGTGGCAGGAAAAGCTGTCCGTGGGCATAGTACTGCGTGGTTTAGTTTTTGAGACTGGGCCTTTAACTTTTTTTTTTTTTCGTATTGATCAGTACCTGAAAATTAGTCACAAATTCAAGCCAGAAATCCAAGTCTGGAGAAACAAATGTGCACCAGAAAGGGGAGCATCTGTCCTTTCCCTCTGGAGCTAGGCAGCTGGGCATAGAAAAGGGATTGCAGCAGCCCCTGACAAGGTAGAAAGATGCTTATGTTTCACTCCCTGAAAGTTGCTCGTTTCCTTTTAGTATCATTTGTTGTGTATTAGATGGTTTCCAGGCAGTCACTCTCCTCCCTCCCCAAATGGCAAAGCCAGTCCCAGTGGTGAAATCTAAGAAAGTCCAGTGTCAGTACATGGGAAAAGGGGATCTGAGACCTTTCCTCTGTCCCTGATGCAGTATTCATGTCTGCAGCAGTGATTGTGGTTATCCCTTATGCAATTATGTCACTTAAGTCATGAACAATTATTAAAGCTTGGAAGTAGAAGCCATTTTAGGAATATCATTTTGTGGGTGATTAAGCTTTTCCTAATTATGCTTAAGAAATCATGTGGGTGAAGTTCATCCTGAAATGTGAGACTAAAGAAAATAATGGCTTAAAAGACATCAGCACACCAAAAGTGGACATAAGTAAATTTATTCTTTATAAATATCATACATATTAACATTATTTACAAAGCTAAAGTATTATTTATAAAGGACCTATATTTCTATGTGAGGAAGATGCAAACTAGCATCACTTTAAGAAGTGCTTCTAGAAATAACATTTTAAGTAATTTAAAAACCAGTAGTATTTCAAGATTGGTTTTTTAACATACGGTGACAAACTTACAGAAAAGAGAAAATTGCTTCTTCTCATCCATTCTCTCTCATGCCCTCTTCCCACCTGGAGGCTGACATTGAGGCATTTTGAAAATTTCCACCTTTATTTAAAAAAAAGAAATCCTACAAGAAGCTACTTCTTATAGGAGTAAGTCATAGATAAGATTTTTCCTTTAGAAAATGACATACGGTCCCCTGCTGGTGGCACAGTGGGTTAAACACAGCACTCCAAGCTAACTGCAGCCACCTCCGAGTTTGATCTCTGGCCCCGGAGGTGACCCACATGACGCGGCAGACCTCTCCTAACCTGCCTGCTGCTCCCCTCAGTAGTGTGCTTCATCAGTCGGCCTGTTCTGCTCTCCACTCTGTCTTTGGTGACTCCTCTCACCACCCCTGTACCTCTAGCCTGTACTCCAGTTCTGTATGCATAAATAAAACTTAAAGAAAAGAACATGCAAAGTGACACAGCTCCAAAATTCTATTAGAAGCACTTAGACAGATCAACAGGAAGAAATTCAATTAATCAAAAAATCCTGAGTGTCCACTGCATGCAAGGCAATCCGCCCGCTGCTGAAGGGGAATCTCACCTGATTAAGATACAATGACTGTTCTCAAGCTCAAAGGTGGTTAAGTACCACAGAAAGATTTTTATGAGCTAAAGGAGTATAGTGAAAGAAATGACTACGTTAAGAGTGGAGGAACGGGGAGAGAAGAACTAGGATCGACTGTCACAGAGAACTTTTACATAAGTAGAGTCTGAAAAGAAGGTTAGACAGGGATTAGCTGGAGTGCATGATCCCTGGGGAAAAGTGTTCCATGTCAAAGCACTGGGCAAAGAGCATGATGGAGACTGGACTAGATTAAAGAAGTGCTTTAAAAGAGGACTCGGGCAGAGATGAGACCATGCAAAGAAGGCACTGGAATGAGAGGGAAAGTTATACCAGTCACTGGGGAGTGGGAAGGAGCAGATGAGCCAGGCCTGTGTACTAACAAGAAGATGGAGAGGAAACAGTAACTGCAAGTCTTGTTGCCAGTTGGAGGTAGATTCTGGAGGCTATTATGGTGTTTGTCCATTACAAAAGAAAGTTAGCTGTGTTTTAGTCACCTAAAGTTTAAAATCCTTAATTAGGCAGGTCTTTTAGATATCCAACAGGTAGTTCTAACTGACCTTGCAGGATGGCGGAAAGAATAAGTCTAATTTAAAACAAGGACCTTTGGGACAAGGAGGTGTCCTCACTTAATTTAGTTGAACACATATTTTCTCTTAAAAATAATGTAAAAATGTCATGAGAAACTGCTACACAGTGAGTGCTTATTTGCCACTATTACCGATTCCTGGGAACTAAGACTTTAAACCAAATGACCTACAAGGAAAACAGGTTGTTAGGATTTTCTTTCCTCAACAGCGATGTTTCAATGTCATTTGAGGATGTGCTGCATTAAGCGTAGTACCTGCCTTCAAGAAGGAGACAGTATAATAAGAGAAACAGGATTTACCGCTGGAAATCCCAGCGACTACAGAGGAATACAATGGATTTCATAAACATGGAGTAGTTTCTGTACGCACTCCCAAGACCTAACAAGTGCATTTACATCTTAATGAGGTTGATAACAGGCTTTCCCTATTTCTAATATATCCTACCGTACAAATATTAAACGACTACACTTTAAATTTATCCTCTTCACTGGGTTGTTTCATTCCATTACATTAAACATAGTTGCTCTGATGATTTCATTTTTAAAAATGCTTCTATATACTCAAAAGATGAAGTTTTTAGTTGAAGAAGAGAGATGTTGCTGTAAGGAACAAGAGGAGGATATTGGCTACATCAGGGAAGGGAAAGAGGCTGGAAAGAGAGATCCAGCTGACACCAAAGCTAACCCTTGCCATTTAACGAGGTGGATCCTCTACATTTGCAGGTGCCGCAAATAAAGAAGTACTGATCCTCTACATTTGCAGGTGCCGCAAATAAAGAAGACTGAAAACACCAGTCTTTCCAATTTAACCCAACCTCTCTTGTTTCGGTTACTTTCATCATTCTTTTTATTAGATTAGCTTTCTAACTGCTTTTCTTTCTCCTTGAAATGAAAAGGATTAGATGGTAGCACATGGATCAATGAAATAAACACAATACCCTTGGAATTTAGGTGCTATTTATACTTTCTCCTTATTTATAGAATGCACCAAATAGTATATTTTCTTCAAAAAGGTTAGCTTTCAAGATACACACACACACACCTGTATGTATGTATATACACACACGTATGTATGTATGCAATGTACACACATGTATACATATGAACTAAAGTAGGTATACAGCTACATGTACATCAGTAGGTTTCTTGATTGACACTGAATGAGCCAGGTTAAATGACAATTGATCAGCTTTAATAAGTTATGAACTATTGATAAGGGGAGAAGGGATTATAATACATTCCACATTTAAAACATCTTTATGGGGGTGCATAATTGGCACCCTCCCCTCAAACTGCTGTATTTTACTTTTTCAGTACCTCCATGGGGCCAACTCAATAGCTAATACAGGTGCCAGAAGAATTACTAGCAGTTTGTGTTATGTTGCTTTAAGATTTAAAACTGGTTCTTGATCAGTGAACTTTTGGAAGATAGACTATCATGGGTGACAATTTTTAGACTCTGATTTTAATCTAAATCGTGTAATTAAGAAAAGTACAAGAAGAGAGTGGAAGAACTCCAAATAACCTGTCTTGTAAAAACACTGGTTCCAATGAAGCAGACTAAAATACTCTAAGTTATAACTTTGTTCTCCAGAAAGGACACAATGAATCTATGGGGATTTTAACTAGAAATTTAGACGTTGTTTGTGTCATCTTAATTAAAATCAGTAAGCTGAAAAGAAGTATTACTTTATTGTGACAGACTTTGGAGATAATGTGAGGACTGCGGATGAGGTTGTAACAGGGTTTAATAGAAATATGTAGTCAGAAAAAACTGCAACAGCCAACTCTAGGGAACTGTTTTGGTAGGGAGCTGTGCTGAAACAAAGCATTCAAAAGGCTTTATTAGAAAGGCACTCAGTAATTCTCTTGGCAATCATAAGTATCACATTAGAAAATCTTTTTTGTAAAAGAAGAAAGGTAAAGTCTTGCCCTCACTACTGGTGTATGTTCTGAACAACTTTGCCCGTTAAAGTTCTTTATATTTAGTTTAAGGTCAGTCCATAAATATATATTATGAACATTTGGATAAATGTTAATCATAGTTTAAATTTCATTGTTCTTCTGCTAATCAATTTTATATACAAAGTAGCTCATGTTAAAATAAATGCACTGAATTTATTAATATAAATCTTTCCTGATGAGGTGCACTGACAATTGGCCAAAGACATAAAGTTTTTAATAAAACTCTTTAAAAAAATAACACAAAGTTGTATTAGAAACCTTTTTAAAAAGAATATATAATTTCAGTTAATACTGGCATAGATTTTGTGCTTCTCTGACTGGTAATTCCAGTTTATTTTTAAAAGCACAAATTTGTAGGAAATGTAACCTGCATTTTATATACAAATAGAACCACTGACTTGACTCAGAACTCTTACAATAACAATAGACATTATATAATATAATGCTTAGCCATATTTGGCTTTTTAAAAAGGTACAGCATTTATGTTGTATTGCTAACAAGAAGACCAAATTTAATTTACAGGCCCTAGAGTTGATTAGCTGTGTTCCTTTCAAGTGAACATATCCTCTATCCTACTTAACAGTTCATTAAGATTCAGATTCTGTCCCTTTGCTGTAATTCCTCGATGATGTCACATTATTTTATGCCAAAAAGTATGTAACAGTAGAAATATTTATATAAGTTCACTGAAATTTTATTCATAGTTACTGAGGTAGAAATTGGCCGTGTTTTTTTTTCATTAAATATACAAAAATTCATTTAAGTTTGATTCAAAGACAGTTTTTTCATCACCAATTGTATCTTGAACAATTTCTAAACCAAACACTGCAAGGAAATTGTTCCTTGATGTTATGTGTGTTTTTATTTATAAAGACTTGGCACTAGTGAAAATTATACAATGTAACATTGTAAAACACATTGAGAAAATAGTGTAAACTGTGTCACAGTCTACAAACAGTATAGAGTAATAAATTTTGTGGTCTCTAAAGAAAAGTACTTTAGAATTCAGTGTGAGTCTCAGAAATAATTCTGACCATTAAGTAAACATCAAAATTTTAATAAATAACATACATGAAAAAAAAATAACATTAAAAAATTACCTTATATTTAACAAAATAGTTTCCTATAATCAATGAAGATTTGAGTTAGATTTATCTTGGCAGTGTCCATTTTTTAAAGTAAAGTATTTGTATTTTATTTTCTACACTTTGATGAAATTCTGCCCTTCCAGGTTCACAGAAGAGATGAAACCAATACTGCTACAGTATCGTGCCTTCCTGAAATGCTTCTATCCACCTAAAGACAAGGGAAATTCATTAGTTTGTAAAATGCAATCATCTAATATATGTGAAGACTATGTATGTATATAAAAATAAACATATATAAATATATACATTAAATAGCTGTACCTGTGGATCAAATTAATCTAACAATGTACATAAGATCTTCTCTATAACAAACTAGAATTATGAATACATATTTATTTGATATTTTGGCCCAAATTTTGGTCTGAAAATTGCATTTCAGTTCTATGAGACATGATGAAGGAACTATCTCATGTAAAAGCTCTAAGTCCTGATGACACCATTGAATTGATTTTGGCTATATCTGCAAAGGCCTTTATTTCAACCCCTTTTCTGTTTCCAGGAGCACTAGCTCTGTTCCTGTCTCCCATAACTGTACTAATCAGAGTTAATTGGAGTATCCACGAGTGCAGAAATGTACCATTATTTTCAATTGAAGGGAATCTAATCATTTAGTCTACTCCTAGTTGACCAAAATTTTGCATACAATATAAAAATGTCATAGTTTCATAGAGGTATTTCTAAAATTCTCGTTTCAAAGTTTATCTAACAGAACACACAGCTGCAATTATTCAAGAGACATTTTGAAAGCCTCTTTGTACATCCCTACTAGTGTAACTGCTCTTGAACTTAGTATGCATATTTGAAATCACTCAGTTAGTAAATGCAGCCTGTAACAGATGTGTAGCAAACTTGAAGGATCTAATTTTATATTTAAATATTTATATATTTAAATGTAAAGGCACCCCTCTTGGAGGGGTTTCCACCTTGTGAACTCAACAATATCAGCAAAGGATGTGTATTCAAAAGCAGTAATTTTATCAGTGCAGTGATGCATCCAAGTGAAAATTCCAAAAAATATACCTAACAGAAACTGAGGACAATTATTTTATCTAAGTAATTTTCACAGAAAAAAAAAATTGTGATTTTTTTAAGTGACATTTAAAATATACCTGAAAGAAATTATTTGAAGAAATAGCTAAATTTACATAGCTGGATGTCCTAACATAACTGGGGGGGGGGAGGAGAGGGGAGGCAGATAAAGGGGTTGAGATGGGAGCTGGAATCTTGTAGAGTATTAGTAACATTGTACCTGATTAATACTCAGAAACACGTGAAATCCTGGTACATTGATACGGTCTTAAGAAATTACAAGCCTTACTTAAAGCATTCTTTTCATTCTGCATGCACTTTTAAAATCTATTGACAAAATATGAGGACATCTTAGTGTAAACAAAGGGTGAGGCCCAAATAAAAATTAGATGCAAAGTGAACTCTTTTGTTCCGAAAGGATCCAGATTTCTCCATGTTAAGCAATCTCATATTTATTTATTTATTGAATAAATAAATATCCTTCTTGGAATTTTGAAGAGACTGTTTCACCCTTTTCCACCTACTTCTACTCAGGCATTGGTAACAGCATGGGAGCTGCTTAATGCGTTTGACCTTTTTCCCAAAGAAGTAAGCAGGCAGCTGTTCAAACTCCCGCTGCTCCAAGGGACAACTGAATCACTGGATTGCCAAAGTCCTGGAATGTCTCAAGGAAAGACTCTTACTCTCACTGAAGCAGAGGTCAAATGCCTGCCTTGCCTCCCTTTCAGCTGTCTAGTAGTATGCTGCCTCCTCAGATGTCTTGCTCCTCTGTCACCTAAATATATTTCATATACTCATGCCTTGTCTTTAAAATACTTCTGAAGAGTTTGAATAATTTGTTAAATCTTTCCATTTGAATCTCTGAAATTCTGAATTGTGCCATGCATGAAAATAGGTCATTTAAAAATCAATCATTTAAAGTAACAACTTGAATTTTCACTTATAAAAGTATAAATTACTTACTTCTGAGCTGAGTGAGCATCATCTGCTTTGAATACATAAAATAAAATGCTTTTGTGCAATAACTGAAATACTCTAGACTCTGAATTCTCATCTTTGACTTGAGTGACAGTGAATCCTAATAAAGGTTGACTCTCCAAAGCTGCCACATCCTAATATAAAAGATACAAATGGAGATGAATTTTCTTAATAATGGCAACTTCAGATATGCAAATTATTGACCTATATAGTGCTAATTTCATTACACATACATAAAACAATAACCGTAGTGTAGTACTTATTCATTTTTCATTTATTCAACAGTATTTATTCAACCCCTACCCCACCAACCCTATGAACCAGATACTATGCTGGACAGTGTGTTCAGTATGTTTACACCATACTATATTCCACAGCCACCATGGGATGTAGATAATTATATTACTTTCATTTTATGGATGCAGAAAACAGCTCAGAAAGGTACGTTATTAACCCCAATCCACTAAGGAAAAGCTCAAAATTAAAGCAGCAGTTTCCATAGGATGTTGGAACACAGGGTGATCAGATAAAAGATAATGTTACGAAGAAGAAACAAATAATTATAACCCAAACAAAGCCTATGTTATTTATGCTGATGCCTGATCAGTGTAGTCTGGGAACAGTCAGGGAGTGTCACCCAAGATGACTCAAATATACCTGCATGTTAATTCTAGGGAAAAGTCCTAACACTTTTGTGTTTGCACACACTCTGTACAATGCAAGAACACATTTCACATTAAAAATACGGCAACATGGTGTGGCAGACCTCTCCTGACCTGCCCGCTGCTCCCCTCAGCAGTGTATTTCAATACATCTGCCTGTTCTGCTCCCCACTGTCTCTGGTGAATCCTCTTACCCTCCGCACCTGGTCTGTGCCCCAGTTCTTGTATGCAAAAGTAAATCAATCTTTTTTAAAAAAATACAGGAACACCATTCATCCTCCAAAAACAAAACAAAACAAAAAGCATACCTAAGACAAATGGAATAAACAAACACTGTATTTTCATTTGGCATTACAAAACAAGACCCAAAACTATCCTTACCTCACTCGCAGCATATGTATATAGCACTTTATTTTTTATGACAAACCAGAAGTGTTTCCAAGGTTTTTTATTGCCCTTTGATCTATACAAGTAGCCACTCATAGAAGAATCTTCTGTGTTTGCTGATACCTAGGTAAGCAAAGCCCATATACAGCTTAATGGCTTTCAGACAAAACATTTAAAATTTTAAAAATTACTTGTAATCAGTAGGTGCTAAAAGCAATAACCATAATTATACATTTCACAATTAAATTGTATACTTTCAAAGTCTGCTACTATACAAACTGAATATTGCTATTAACATAATAAACATTCTAGAATTTTACTTGTTTTAACTGTGCTTGCATATGTGTTTGTGCATGTATTTCCCTGTGGTTTCACCTATATTTCCGGTGTTGTCAAGAGATGAAAAATAATTCTGAACGTCAACAATACCTTCTTTAAGCTGCACTTCAGCAACTGTGTATGATGCTGATCTGAACTGTTAGGGAAAATAACTTAAACCTTTAACTCCATCCTAAAATAATGTCTCAAACTTCTAAAATGGTGTCAGCAGAACGGTAAAGAGAAAATGAATGATTTACAGATCATTCTTTGCAATCCACATTTTGGTTAAAAAGACACCTATTTTTACTTCAAAAAAGGTTGAAAATATTTTAACTCTGGTAAAAGCACAATATTCTTTCAATGATTACAATCTGACAACTGAAATGTACCCCTACCTTGGACAGTCACACTCCTGCACAATCTCCGCCCCTGGAGTGTGGGCAGCTTCTGCAACTTGTTCCTAATCATAATTTTTTTTTAAAGATTTATTTATTCATACAGAATTGGGGTACAGGCCAGAGATGTGGAGGGTGAGAGAATTCACTAGAGACAGAGCGGGGAGCAGAACAGGCAGATCCATGAAGTACACTGCTGAGGGGAGCAGCGGGCGGGCCAGGAGAGGTCTGCCGCGCCATGTGGTCACCTCCAGGGCAGGCAGGAATCGAACTCCTGCAGAAGTGGCTTTAGCTTCTTAGTGCTGTGCTTTAACCGCTGCACCACCAGGGAGGGCCCCTAATCATAAATTTAACTGGAGGTGTTGCCCTGGCTTCCCCAGGACTTTGTTAAATCTGTAGACCCATATCTCAATGGCAGCCCCATTCCAGGACCTTCTTCCATGCTGCTGACTTTTAAGACATTAGCAGTCAGTGGTAGGTCCAAGCAGAGAGGAGCTGGGGTAATGTCCTGCCACAAGTCAGATAAGAAACTGGGCCCTTAAAACTTACAAATTCAAGGAAATGAGTGAGTTCTGCCAGTAGCTTGAGTGAACTTGGAGCCTTCCCTAGCCATCCTCTGGATAAGAACTCTGTGCTGGTCAACACCTGACTGCAGTATTGCATGGCCCCTGCTCAATGGTGCCCAACTCCTGAGACAATAAATGTGGAGTTTGAAGTCACTGTGTTAAGGTCCAATTAGCTTTTATATTTGTTTTTAGTTTGTGTTAATTTGTTACACAGCAGTAGAAAACAAATGCGGGGGGGGGGGTTGACTGAATTTATATTTTTATTTATATATTATTTGATGGATTATATTAATTTCTTACATATTTCTTGAAAAGGATTATATGTTTTTGTTGGAAAACTTAACATTTAATGTTATATTAGGAATATGCAAGTAAATTTGTATATAAAGAATATATCCTGGGCCCTCCCTGGTGGCGCAGCGGGTTAAAGCACAGCACAAAGAAGCTTAAACCACTTCCACATGAGTTCGATTCCCGCCTGCCCCGGAGGTGACCACATGGCATGGCAGACCTCTCCTGACCCGCCCGCTGCTCCCCCCAGCAGTATACTTCATAGATCTGCCTGTTCTGCTTCCTACTCTGTCTCTGGTGAATCCTCTCACCCTCTGCATCTCTGGCCTGTACCCCAGTTCTGTACGAATAAATAAATCTTTAAAAAAAAAAAAGAATATATCCTTGTATATAATTAGTATTGTATATATATAGTATGTATGTGTATATATATATAATGTATATATATATTGTATAATTAGTATTTTATATATAGTTAGAAAGAAACTAGAATGTTTATATTTCAATGATACATATATTTCAATGCTTAAAATGTAGTTATGCTGGGTACTGCTATGTATATATTGATGTATGCATGTCATTTGCACATATGTACTTGTACACACACATAAGTGCTTATAAAGTTTTACTATTCTTTCTCAGTGTAGTACTGTCCTTCTATTATTCATATAAGCAGATCAATTAAAATACTAAAAAATCATTCAGATTCCTCTCCCTTTTCTAAAATATAAATTGAGGGCCCTCCCTGGGGGTACAATGGGTTAAAGCATAGCAATATGAAGCTGTCACAGCCACTGTAGCATGAGTTCAATCCCGGCCAAGGAGGTGATCCACATAGCGTGGCAGACCTCTCCTGTCTCATCCACTGCTCTCCTCAGCAATGTATTTCAGTACATCTGCCTGTTATGTTCCCCACTCTGTCTCTGGTGAATGCTCTAACCTCCTGCACCTCAGGCCTGTACCCCAATCCTGTATGCATAAATAAATCTTTAAACATACATACATACACACACACAGGTGCTAACTGCTTAATTACTCAAAACTTTCTTCCAATGATTTGCTCATTTAAAAAAGAAGTCAAACCCAATTCAAGAGACATATTCTGTCATTACTAAGGGTACTGAGTCTCTGAATATAATTCTAAAAATAGCTTCTGAAAGTGTATTGAACATTAGTGAAATAAACGTAAAATGCCCATTTCTCAGAAAGTTAAACAGTAGAAATACCTTATGGCCAAGTAATTCTATTCCTAAGTATATAACCAACAAAAATGAAAACCTATGTCTACGCAGAAATTTGTGCACAATGTATATAGCAGTATTGCTCATAACAGCCAATAGATGAAGACAACTCAAAAAGTCTAATAATAAAAGCTTTACTATTTTGTGAGGTTGGCTATAAATCACTTCCTATAATTTAAATTGCTGTGTTGGAATACACTAACTTTACCTGAGAAATGTGATCTTGTTCAAATTGTGAGAGTGTCTGGTTCTACCCTGTGATAGCAGATCTTCGCATTACCAAGAGAACAAAAATTAAAACTATTCTGCTGGCCCAAAACTAGCACCGGTAGAATGAATTTGTAATCAAAATGGGACTGGTCAGAAAGCCCACAAAAGGTCACTATTGTGTGAGTCCTCTTACATGGTATGTCCATAATAGGCAAAGACATGTAGTGCTGTCGGATCTCTGTACTTGTTTTCAAGTTGAATCAAAATCAAGTTGATGAAACACCTGAATTTGAGGATAAGGTAATCAGTGAGGCCTGTGGATTCTGCCACTACACATCTTAGTGTGCAAGCTATTACCACTTTTTAAATTTTTCCCTTAGATTTAAAGGAAAGAAATCCTTTATCAGTGACACCGGCTATATATAACCAACAAACGTCTGCAAATGACAAATTGTGCAAATCAGTAAATGCTAGTAAGTATCTATATTCTACTAACACCTTTCATTTGGTAAAGAGGCCTCCTCAAATAATTTAAAAACAATTCACATGTGTCCAAGTCCTCTTTCTTCTTTCTATCATTGCTATAAAATGGTCTCCATTTTCCATTGACCCAGCAATCCCACTCCTAGGTATCCACCCAAAAGACACAGCAATACTGATTCAAAAAGATACCTGTAACCCCATGTTTATTGTTGCTTTATTTACAATAGGAAAGACATGGAATCGACCCAAATGCCTAAAAGTACATGACTGGATTTTAAAAAGATGTGGTTCATATACACAATGGAATATTACTCAGCAATCAAAAAGATAGACACATGCCTTTTGCAGCAACATGGGTGGAGCTGGAAAAGATCATGCTTAGTGAAATAAGCCAGAAAGAAAAGGAAAGATGCCAGATGGTTTCACTTATAGCAGGAGTATAAAGGACCAGGGGAGAATATAATAATAATAATAATGAACAACTATATACTAGAGACATTTTATGGGGGTGGAGTGGGGAATGGGATCAAAAATGGGGGGAGGAAAAGTGCCCTAGACTATGGTGATGGCACATGGGTGATCTGGTGATGGGAAGCCCACGGGGATTACAACTGAGATGGAAAAGGACACAAAATGATGTAAAAATAAATTATTATATTATTTAAAAA